GGGCCGGGGCCGGGCCAGGGGCGGTGCCGGGCCGGGGGCCGGGGCCGGGCCGGCGGTGCCGGGCCGAGGCTGGGGTCGGGCCGGGGGTGCTGAGCCGGGGACTGGGCCGGGAACCGGCAGTGCTGGGCGGGCCGGGGGTGCTCGGCCGGGGGCTGGCCCGGGGCCGGCACCCCAGGTCCTGAGCCGACCCAGGCTGGAGACGCCGGGGAGAGCCAGACTGGGGTGCGCCTCCTCCCCCCACCCACCCCTTACCTGCTTCAGGCTTCCTGCGAATCAAATGTTCGCGGGAAGCAGGGGAGGGGGCGGAGTTGGGGCGGGGACTTTGGGGAAGGGGTGGAGTTGGGGCGGGGGGCATGGGCGGGGCTGGGGGCGGGGGCGGGGCCCCGGCCCCGTGGAGTGTCCTCCTTTTGGACACTCAAAATATGGTAACCCTACATTCTACAAACATCAGCTATGCCTCACAACCCCTGTGAGAAAGGTGGATCAGTATTATCATCTGCAGTTCGCACAAAGAGAAACTGGGGTGAAGCAACTTGATGAAACCACACATCAAGTGAGTTTCACAGCTGGGGTTATGTCACATGATTTCCTGACTCCCCTGCCAACACTGTGCTCAGTCCTCCAGGCTACTTGCTGTCAGGGACTCTGCATGCTGTTAGCTGACCCCTTCTTGCAGGGGAAGATGCATCTGCAGTCATTTCCACAGGTTGGAAATACATATTTGTGCATCACAGTCAATTTGGTAAAAACAGGGCAGCTGTAAAGACACAGAGATGTCCTGCCAAACAAACGTTAACTGTGAGGATCTTTATGACTGTAGAAATGGTCAAATAATATTAGAATAATGCAGAGGTTCTCAAACTGGTGGTCATGAGATTATTACATGGTGGTCACTGGCTGTCAGCCCCACACATGGCAGGTCTCTGGCTCTAAAGAAAGGGTGTCAAAATAGAAGTTTGCCCAAGGTGCAATTTTCCCTAAGGCCAGTCCTGGGATTGAGACAACATTAGAGAGCTTGATTGTTCAGCAGCTGAAGAACTGCATTAAACCGCAGACCAATCAACATACTGAAAGCAGCCAGACTCACAGGCAGGGGTGATCCTGGGGAAGGCTTGCAGGGGCTATAGCCACCCCAAAATTTGACTTAGTGCACACATAGCCACCCCTCCCAGCACAAAGCACAAACATTTTGCAGAAGTAAGGGTGGCGTGGTATGACAAAGCACCTTTACTTCTGCATTTCTGTGCTGCTGCTGGCAGTGGCGCTGCCTTCAAATCTGGGCACCCAGCCAGCAGCCACCACTCTCTGGCCGCCCAGCTCTGAAGGCAGTGCCTGCCATCAGCAGCAGCGCAGAAGTAAGGGTGGCAACGGGGCGCTAAATCTGCTGTGAACAGTGATATTGACAATGTTTCTTCATCCCCCGCCCCCCAGTATTAAACAGTAACTATTTAACTCAAGAGGCTTGCTGTGTGAAAGTGGTCGCCAATACAAAAAGTTTGAGAACCAACTGGCATAATGGATTAGAATGACTTTCCTGCCATTTAAAAAAAATATTTTTTTATTTACTAAATAACATTTCTCCAGTTCTAACTTTAGTATGTTACCCTAGATCACTGCTGCCAAAGGGAGAGAAATAAAGTCATGTTTATCTAGGCTATTTTTTCTTTTTTTCAGAGAAGAAGTCAATTTATAAGAACAGCAAAATACAACGGACCTCTAGCCATTTTGGAATGGGGTACATTCAGACTGGACATTTAACTACTGCTGTACCTGATCTGTGCATCAATGGAAGACCTTTGTCCACAGGGCTGTCTCACCAGCCCCAAATTCAATTTTTTTAAAAAGTGAACCGAGTAACTGATTACAGGAAAGGCTTTATAGTGTGCACAACCTACGGTTATCTCTGCACTTAACAAGCAGGTGCTCGGGGTGGCCAAGGGAGGGGGCGGCACCTGCCGCAATTTGGGGGCGGCAGGTCCCTCACTCCCTCTAGGAGCGAAGGACCTGCCGCTGAACTGCCGCTGCCGATTGTGACTTTTTTTTTTGTCTTGGGGTGGCAGAAATGCTGGAGCCGGCCCTGGCACTCAAAAAACATTGTGCACTCATATCATGTGCCTGAAGGGAATGCATGATGGAAATACACATGAGATGGACTTTGTTCATTAACAGGTCCTGTTTGGGCTATGATAAATATATGATTTGTTTTAAATGAATGGAATCAAAGGTGCCCCAAAACTAGAGATGGGTTCAAGCAATACTGTTCATCTGCATTGACATTGCAAGCACCTCAGAAATGGGGCTGAAGGGAGAGAAAATGGCAAGAGGGGTTGCTCACTCCATTGCAAATATAGGGGCCATTTGCAAAATGTGGAGTAAGGTTTAGTTTTTGAACACCAGCATGATGCAAAAGCTACGGGTGTTCTGATCTGGGACCTCAATTCTGTACCTGAACTAGAAGTAATGGTAGAGAAAGGGGATTAGTCATGTTCTTTCTTTATTATATGTTAAGTGTCCTTGTTTTCATTTTTTATTTTATTTATTTTTTCCTGGGAATTTATCAGTGTTTATTACCACAACAACAAAAGGAGGTGAAAATCAGTGCAAAAAACTATTAATAATTTTTCTGGGTAAATATCGGGGTCTATTTTGGTGGACAGAAAGATGAGGGGAGGAAAGTATTCAGTAGATTAATGCTTTGAATTCCGATCATCAATGCGGTTTGCTGCAGAACTAAAACAGAACTTAAAACACAATGCCGCAATGTTTAAGAAAACAATATATCCCTAATCCCCAAATAAAACTTTTCATTTGAATAAACAGTTTATTGTTGTAGATTTAGAACTATTAGCCTATAAATATTTACATTTAATAATTGGGCCACACCATGTGCAGCGCATACACTCAACTTCATCCTTTAAGCTGTGAGTCTAAACTTTGTAGCTCTGGCTCATCTCTACAGACACATAAATTCTACAATATCATATTTTAATCCTAGGCTTGATTGCTAAATCTGAATTTAGAGCCAGCTTCTGCTCTCAGTTACATCAGTCTGGAGTAATTCAATTGAAATCAGTGGAGTTCTCCAGTTCTGCACTAGAATTTGTCCTTTTACTCAACAGTGTTTTTAGTGGTGGTAGCCTGAAGCCCAAACTGGAAGCGCTGTGTCTCAATAAGAAGGACTGACCACTTTTTCATGGGTATGCAGAATCATGGAAATGAAGGCCCCAATTCAGTAATGAACAGGAACAGACTCAGTTGATCCTACATGGTTAAGCAAGAGCTGAATGAGGGTCTTAATGATCAATGCACATTCATTGCTTGGCCATATCATAACTGCACAGCTGTCATGCCAGTTTTTTGCGCTTGTGAAGAAAAAATATGTTTACGGTGTCTAAAATCATGACAGAAACATTATTTGTTCTATACTCAGCGAACTGGGGGATTCCAAATATGTTAGTGAAACTAGTCTCCATGGAGCTCTCTGCTTTGAAATACACCTCATCTTTCATTGCTCAGAATAAGGGAGAAATGCAGTCGAGACAAAGAAAAGAGCTATATTAGAATGATTTGCCTGGATTCCCAAGGTGTCTTTTATCCAATTCAATAGCAAATGCTGCTAATGAACTGCAATGTTAACAGATCACCTAAAGCAGTAATGTGATACTTGTAAGTAATTTTGTGGGGTGGGGGGGAGAGAATAAACCATTATGTAGGGTATCTGTTAATTGATTTGCTTCCTTTAGCATCATTTTAATTAAGACTTCTGGTTTGGAACAGGAGAGAGGATGTGGTCATGGAGGGAAGCTGTACCTTTACTTATCTTTATGAACAACTCTTTCCTTCACACCCTTGCAGAACTGACAACAACAGGAAAAAAAGGACATTACAGGCAGTCAGTGAATGGGCAGGGTTGGGGAGTCAAGGTTAATAATATAGATCAGGCAAATTTAAAGGGCTGAAGAATAATGCTCTAGGGGAACATGGGCTAGGAATGAAAAATATATTATGAATGGGAGTTTCAAAAGCACTCAGGAGTGGCCTAGCTCTGCCATTGATTTCAATGGGAGCAATGTGAATGTATGATAACTCTTCCCCACTCACTCTGTCTCACAGGCGATGGGCATAATAGGCTGCCGCTACCCTGCCACCTGGGCCATGGTAGCCCTGTCTGCGCTCCACCTCTTCCCCTCCCTGCTCCACCCCTTCCCCGAGGCCTCCACCACTGCTTGGCAACTGAGCGTTTCCTCTCCTCCACTCCACCACCCATCTCCAGAGGTCCCTGCCGCTCACTGCATCCTTGTGGGTGGTGGAGGCCTCACAGGGGCGGGGGGATGCAGGGGATGAGAGATGCGGAGAGCGCACCTGGCAGGAGCCTCGGGAGAAGGGGTGTGTGGAGAAGAGGAGGAATGCAACAAGCAGCGATGTGGGGTGGGGCGAGCAGCAGGGGCTGGCATGGAGTGTGAACGGGGCCACAGGTGGAAGAGGTGGGGGTCAAGCGAAGAAGATGTGGGACAGGGAGTTAGCCTATCCCAGGGGAAGCTTCACCTACCGCCCATGCTCTGCCTCTGTGCTGTCTACTTAGACTGCAAGCTCTTCAAAGCAAGGCTTGGCTTACTATGGGTCTATAACAGGGGTCGGCAACCTTTCAGAAGTGGTGTGCTAAGTCTTCACTCTAATTTAAGGTTTCACGTGCCAGTAATACATTTTAACATTTTTAGAAGGTCTCTTTCTATAAGTCTATAATATATAACTAAACTATTGTTGTATATAAAGTAAATACGGTTTTTAAAATGTTTAAGAAGCTTCATCTAAAATTAATTTAAAATGCAGAGCCCCCCAGACTGGTGGCCAGGACCCGGGCAGTGTGAGTGCCACTGAAAATAAGCTCACGTGCCACCTTCGGCATGCGTGCCATAGGTTGCCTACCCCTGGTCTATAAAGTGCCTAGCACACGTTAGTGCACTATGGTCAACATTTTCAGAAGTGCTCATTAATTCTGTATTCTTCCGGAGGGCTCTTACCCTGCACCATTGAACTCAATGGGCCCTCTGCCCACGATCAAGTCCTGTTTGTGTGCCCAACTTGAGCCACCTTGTGCCTAGTTTTCAGAGATGCTGAGCACCCAAAGCGCTCAGTGAAGTCATTGGAGTGACTCTGGATTTATACCAGTGAGAACGATTTCAGAATTGGCCCCCTGATACGCAGACAACTACATTCCCTATTTCCTACTGGACCATGCTCCTTACTCCTAGCAGATGTACAGAGTAATGATGGATTGTCTCATTTAGATGAGAAAACAAACATTTACTTGTATGTCACCTACTAACAGTTAGGGTTTTGTATACACCATGCATTTTTAATGAGAGAAGTAAGCAATCAATACATTTAGTGACACCAGGGCCGGTGCAAGGAAGTTTCATGCCCTAGGCGAAACTTCCACCTTGTCCCCCCTCCCTCCAGCCCTGCGGCAGCTCCCCGCCCCCCCTCCGCCCTGCCCCCATGGCAGTTCCCCCCCGTGCCCTGAGGTGCCCCCCCCCACACAGCAGCTCCCCACCCCAGCTCACCTCTGCTCTGCCTCCTCCCTGAGCACGCTGCCCCCGCTCTAATTCTCCTCCCAAGCTTGCAGCGCCAAACAGCTGATTGGCGCTGCAAGCCTGGGAGGCGGGAGAAGTGGAGCGGCAACCGCGCGCTTGGGGAGGAACGCTGTAAAAAAAAAAATTGGGGGCACCGCTTTTTGGTGCCCCCAAATCTTGGCGCCCTAGGCAACCGCCTAGTTCGCCTTAATGGTAGCACCAGCCCTGAGTGACACACAATTGTCCAGCAGCAGCTGGAATTGTTCACTAGACAGAGAGAGAGAGAGAGTCAAATTCTGCTCCCAGTTACACCACTGTAAATCAGGAGTAATTGTTGAAGTCAATGGGCCTGACTGTGCTCTTACTCATACAGATATAAAATAGGAGTAATTCCACAGAACTCACTGGAGTTGCATTGGTATAAAAGCAGTGGCAGTGAGACGGCAATCAGTCCCAGTGAATCAGGCCGCACTGGTATACGTCTGGTAACTGAGAGAAGAATCTTCTCCCATGTTTCCCAAACAGGACATATTGTGAAACGTCAATAGGCAAAACAGTTGCCTCCTGGATATCCCTTAGCTGATCTCCTGCCCATAACTGGAGAATCAGGTCGCTTTAAATGTAGATGTCAGGAAACAAAAGTGCCCTTCAGTAATCAAGTGCCACAGAACTAGACAATTACCAAAGATGGGACTCTGACTCACCAATGAAAAAGGAAAAAATATAGCCAAAGGAAAATATATACTTACCAGACCTGTATGGCACATAGGTAGAATACCTGAAGACATGAAACACATCCCAGAATACTAATTAAACAGGAGACTAAATCAGAGAAAGGTATGTGTGGTGATGGAACACCAGGTGTGGTTTTCTAAGAGCTACAGGGCACCTACAATTCCAGTGGGAGCTGTGAGGGTTCAGTACCTCTGAACCCTCCTTACACATGTACTGTTCTATCAGGAGGGAGTGAAATAAAAATAGGTTGCTCTTGACTATATCATACACAAGGCCATTACCTGCTCCAATTTGATATCTACATAATTATCTCCCCCTCCCCTAGCATCTGAGAACCATCTTCAATGTAATTAACCTCCCAAGACCCTGGAGTGGCAGAGAAGTGTTCTCCCCATTTTATGGAGGGGGACATGAGGCACTGGGCAGATTAAATGATTTGTTCAAAGCCCCTCAGGGCACATATAGCAGAGTAGGGAAAAGAACCCCAGTCTTCTAAGCTCTCGGCTAAGGCCTTAACCCCTCCACAATCCTGCCTCTCTAATATGGCTGCTTAGAGATCATTACCATGTTTTGTCTTACCTAATATATGCTCTTGTCAGATACCTTGAAATTAGACCCTATAATTCTCTTTTCATTCACAGCGTCAACCAGGCGACACGGCAGAGAACTCAGTGGCATTTTGTTGGCATAAATCGGGTTGGCAACATTTGGCACGCGGCTCGCCAGGGTAAGCACCCTGGCGGGCTGGGCCAGTTTATTTACCTGCTGACGCGGCAGGTTCGACCGATCGCGGCCCCCACTGGCCACGGTTCGCCGTCCCGGGCCAATGGGGGCAGCGGGAAGCAGTGCGGGCGAGGGATGTGCTGGCCGCGGCTTCCCACCGCCCCCATTGGCCCGGGACGGCGAACCACGGCCAGTGGGGGCCGCGATCAGCCAAACCTGTCGCGTCAGCAGGTAAATAAACTGGCCCGGCCCGCCAGGGTGCTTACCCTGGCGAGCCTCGTGCCAAACGTTGCCAACCCCTGGCATAAATGCAGTGTAAGATGACACTCCGGACCAAATACAAATGTTCTCCTGCAAATAAAGCCCATTCTCTGTGTTCCTTTTACAAACTTGTTCAGTCTCTATAAACCATGCAACGCGTGGGCATAGAATGATGGTAAAGTCAGTGTGAGCTGGAGCCAGTTCCCACCGGTTCGCAGGAACCGGTTGTTAAATTTAGAAACCCTTTTAGAACCGGTTGTTCCAGGACAACCGGTTCTAAAAGGGCTTTTAAATTTAACAAAGGCTCGGGCAGCTGTCCACCCCATCCCCATCTCCAGCTCACTTCCCACTCCTCCCCTGAATCCTCCGCCCCCCCCCTTCTCTTCCCCTCCCCTCGCTTCCCGCGAAATCAGATGTTCGCGGGAAGCCTGAAACAAGTAGCAGGCAGGTAAGCTGGGGCGGGGTGGGAGCATGAGGAGGGCTCCAGGGAGGCGCGGCGCGGCCCAGTCCGGCTC